AAAATGCCTATATATATAAAACTATGAAACACTGATGAAAGAAATAAAAGATGACACAAATAGATGGAGAAATATACCATGTTCATCGATTGGAAGAAACAATATAGTGAAAATGAGTATATTATCCAAAGCAATCCATAGATTCAATGCAATCCCTATCAAGCTGCCAACAGTATTTGTCACAGAACTAGAACAAATAATTTCACAATTTGTATGGAAACACAAAAAAACTTGAATAGCCAAAGCAATCTTGAGAAAGAAGAATGGAACTGGAGGAATCAACCTGCCTGACTTCAGGCTATGCTACAAAGCTACAGTCATCAGGACAGTATGGTACTGGCACAAAGACAGAAATATAGATCAATGGAACAAAATAGAAAACCCAGAGATAAATACATGCACCTAGGGACACCTTATCTGTGATAAAGGAGGCAAGAATATACAATGGAGAAAAGACAATCTCATTGACAAGTGGTGCTGGGAAAACTGGTCAACCACTTGTAAAAGACTGAAACTAGAACACTTTCTAGCAACAAACACAAAAATAAACTCAAAATGGATTAAAGATCTAAACATAAGACCAGAAACCATAAAACTCCTAGAGGAAAACATAGGCAAAACACTCTCTGACTTAAATCACAGCAGGATCCTCTATGACCCATCTCCCAGAGTAGTGGAAATAAAAGCAAAAATAAACAAATGGGACCTAATTAAACTTAAAAACTTTTTCATAATGAAGGAAAGTATAAGCAAGGTGAAAAGGCAGCCTTCAGAATGGGAGAAAATAATAGCAAATGAAGCAACTGACAAAGAATTAATCTCAAAAATATACAAGCAACTCAATACCAGAAAAATAAACAATCCAATCAAAAAATGAGCCAAAGAACTAAACAGACGTTTCTCCAAAGAAGACATACAAATGACTAACAAACACATGAAAAGTTTCTCAACATCACTCGTTATCAGAGAAACGCAAATCAAAACCACAATGAGGTAACATCTCAAGCCAGTTAGAATAGCTGCTATCAAAAAGTCTACAAACAATGGTACTGGCACAAAGACAGAAATATAGATCAATGGAACAGAATAGAAAGCCCAGAGATAAATCCACGAACCTATGGTCACCTTATCTTTGACAAAGGAGGCAAGGATATACAATGGAAAAAAGACAACCTCTTTAACAAGTGGTGCTGGGAAAACTGGTCAACCACCTGTAAAAGAATGAAACTAGAACACTTTCTAACACCCTACACAAAAATAAACTCAAAATGGATTAAAGATCTAAATGTAAGACCAGAAACTATAAAACTCCTAGAGGAGAACATAGGCAAAACACTCTCCGACATAAATCACAGCAGGATCCTCTATGACCCACATCCCAGAATTTTAGAAATAAAAGCAAAAATAAACAAATGGGACCTAATGAAACTTAAAAGCTTTTGCACAACAAAGGAAACTATAAGCAAGGTGAAAAGACAGCCCTCAGATTGGGAGAAAATAATAGCAAACAAAGCAACAGACAAAGGATTAATCTCAAAAATATACAAGCAACTCCTCCAGCTCAACTCCAGAAAAATAAATGACCCAATCAAAAAATGGGCCAAAGAACTGAACAGACATTTCTCCAAGGAAGACATACAGATGGCTAACAAACACATGAAAAGATGCTCAACATCACTCATTATCAGAGAAATGCAAATCAAAACCACAATGAGGTACCATTACACACCAGTCAGGATGGCTGCTATCCAAAAGTCTACAAGCAATAAATGCTGGAGAGGGTGTGGAGAAAAGGGAACCCTCTTACACTGTTGGTGGGAATGCAAATTAGTACAGCCACTATGGAAAACAGTGTGGAGATTTCTTAAAAAGCTGGAAATAGAACTGCCATATGACCCAGCAATCCCACTTCTGGGCATACACACCGAGGAAACCAGATCTGAAAGAGACACGTGTACCCCAATGTTCATCGCAGCACTGTTTATAATAGCCAGGACATGGAAGCAACCTAGATGCCCATCAGCAGACGAATGGATGAGGAAGCTGTGGTACATATACACCATGGAATATTACTCAGCCATTAAAAAGAATTCATTTGAATCAGTTCTAATGAGATGGATGAAACTGGAGCCCATTATACAGAGTGAAGTAAGCCAGAAAGATAAAGACCATTACAGTATACTAACACATATATATGGAATTTAGAAAGATGGTAACGATAACCCTATGTGCAAAACAGAAAAAGAGACTCAGATGTATAGAACAGACTTGTGGACTCTGCGAGAAGGCGAGGGTGGGATGTTTCAAGAGAACAGCATCGAAACATGTATATTATCTAGGGTGAAACAGATCACCAGCCCAGGTTGGGTGCATGAGACAAGTGCTCGGGCCTGGTGCACTGGGAAGACCCAGAGGGATTGGGTGGAGAGGGAGGTGGGAGGGGGGACCGGGATGGGGAATACATGTAAATCCATGGCTAATTCATTTCAATGTATGACAAAAACCACTACAATGATGTAAAGTAATTAGCCTCCAACTAATAAAAATAAATGAAAAAAAAAAGTCTACAAACAATAAATGTTGGAGAGGGTGTGGAGAAAAGGAAACCCTCTTACATTGTTGGTGGGAATGCAAACTAGTACAGCCACTATGGAGAACAGTGTGGCGGTTCCTAAAAAAAACTGGAAATAGAACTGCCATACAACCCATCAATCCCACTGCTGAGCATACACACCAAGGAAACCAGAATTGAAAGAGACACATGTATGCCAATATTCAACACAGCACTGATTACAATAGCTAAGACATGGAAGCACCCTAGATGTCCATCAGCAGAAGAATGGATAAGCAAGTGTGGTATATATACACAATGGCATATTACTCAGTTATTAAAAGAACTCATTTGAATCAGTTCTAATGAGGTGGATGAAACTAGAGCCTATTAATCAGAGCGAAATAAGTCAGAAAGTAAAACACCAGTTCAGTATATTAATGCACATATATGGAATTTTGAAAGATGGTAGTGATGATCCTATATGCAAGACAGCAAAAGAGACACAGATGTATAGAACAGATCTTTGGACTCTGTGGGAGAAGGCAAGGGTGGGATGATTTGAGAGAATAGAATTGAAACATGTATATGGCCATATGTGAAATATATCACCAGTCCAAGTTTGATGCATGAAACAGGGCATTCAAATCTGTGCACTGGCACAAGCCTGAGGGATGGGATGGGGAGGGAGGTGGGAGGTGGGTTCAGGTTGGGGGACACATGTACACGCATGGCTGATTCATCTCAGTATATAGCAAAAACCACCACAATATTGTAAAGTAATTAGCCTCCAATTAAAATAAATAAATTAATTAAAAAAAAGATAAATTGTCCCTGATCTTAATGACCTTAATGAGCCACTAGGAGAGGTGGCTAAGAACTGCAGGTCCAGGAAGAGAGATAAAACCATTAAAAAAAGACCTAGAGAATTCCCAGAGAGTCCATGGGAGGAAGATAATTTTCAAATTGGGAGACTAGAGATTGGCCAGAATTGTACTTAAATGTCTGAAGATAATAGGAGAAACAATCAGTTTGATGTTTAAAGCTGAGCAGAGCTTCCCTGCAGACGGACCTACAAAGTTGGTAACACTGCACACTATCCTCTGTACATTAGGCAACCTGTGCGTCAACAAACTCTCCAGGTGATTCTGACACACACTAGTATTGAGGAAATGCTGGTCTAGATAAAAGAGAGTCCTGATGTGATACCCATACTACAGGGTCAAGAAAAAGAAACATTTCCAAACCTCGATAGGGAGAATTTGTGTGTGTGTGCTCTGAAATCCATCTGTTGCTTTATGAGAGAGCACAGAACAACCTGGCAACCACTTTACCACCAGGGTCCTGGATGGTTAAGAAGATACTCAAAAGGAACTGACCCTTCTGTCTGTGAACTTTTATTCTGGGGCATGTTTAAGTATTCCTCAGTTCTTCCCTTGTCTTAGAACCTCATTTCTTTAATTTTTCTTCTTTTTTCAGGAAATGATAAATGATTTGTTTGTTTTAAGCAGTTACTTACCAAAGACTCATGCAGATAAGACACTGCACAGCTGTTTCTTGTATTTATTGTTCTCTTTTTCCTCTCAGCACTAAAATATTTACCCATTTTGTTTTGTTCAAAGTTTTAGTGAGTGTTAAGCAACAGTGCCAGCAGTTAATGGTGGAGCAAGATGTGGAGATAGTATTAATGAGTTAAATGAGTGCAAGGTGTTATGATACTTTCAACAATCTATCAGTCTCCTATCTGAATAGTACTTATTGAGTGCTTATTGTGTTACCAGATATGTGGAATTTTTCTTTGTGCTATAATAAAGAGATAAGTTTCCACTGCTGGCAGATGGAACACAAGAGTTTTTGGAAGACAAATAGGAAATGTGAAGGAATATGAGAAAGTTTTATTAATGCTTTGGCTCAGGATGCTTAAGGGTCACAGAGAACAAGGAGAAGAAGTAGAAGAAGCATTTATTTATGTATGTAAATTAATTATGTATGTATGTATGTAAAATGAGTAACAAGAAAAAAACATTTTTTCTTAAATTTCTAAGACATGTAACTCATGGCACAGATAGAACGGGGCAAAGAGGAGCTATTTATTTGAGGGCAAGAGAGTTAATTCTAGGAGAAGGGTATGACACATGTGGAAACACGGAGGTGAGACAAAACAAAGCATGCTCTATAAGGGGCTGTGTCTATGTGAGTGGAGTTGGAACATACTCATGTGAAGGGAGTTATTCTTGCTTCATAAAGTTACGAATGCTAAGGAAAATGGTTTGACAAAGAGTGATTTTATCCATTTAAATTTTAGACAGATTTTGGGTCAATAGAACTGTGGAGAAACTTGATGGCCTAGAATGAAGGCAGATAAATCTGTCAGGGGATTACTAATGTAACAGTCAAACTGAATTCATATCTCTTTTCTTTCAGTCAGTTACAGGCTTATCTGCCAGCCATGGTGTTATCTCTCAACCACACAGGGACCCAGGTGACCGAATTCCTGATGATCTGCTTTCCAGGAATGCAGGATACCCAGCACTGGCTGTCTCTAGTCCTGGCTCCTCTCCTAGTTTTGGCTCTTGGGGCCAACTTTCTGTTATTACTTGCCATCTGGCAGGAGGCATCTCTGCATGAGCCCATGTACTACCTGCTTGCCATCCTTTCTGTGTTGGATGTCATCCTCTGCCTCACAGTCATCCCTAAGGTCAGACCCTCCCTGGATTTACTCCCGGGTATTCAATCATCTTTCTCTAAACACTACCTTGCTTTGCAGATGTAAATACTCCTGTAAAATTTTCAATGAGTTGCCAACAGTATCATACTAGGTCTATCACAGCTTCCAGATATGTCTCATCTCATTCTCAGTGTGTATGATTTTTAAGGTTTCACATTATTTTTTCAAACTGAGAAGCCATCTCTCAATGTCTGAGTCAGTGATATTTCAAGTTTTGACTTTCTGTTTACTTCTAAGGAGATTCTCCTTGACTCTGAACCACTCCACCCTTATATTCAAGGGCTCAAGACTTTTCTTTGTAAAACATAACAAGGGACTTCCCTGACAGTCCAGTGCTTAAGACTTCACCTTCCAGTGCTGATCGTGTGGGTTCGATCCCTGTTAGGGGAGCTAAGATCCTACATGCCTCAAGGCCAAGAAACCAAAACATAAAACAGAAGCAATATTGTAACAATATTTATTGTTCAATAAAGCTTTTTAAAACTGATCAACATTAAAAAAAAACTTTAAAAATGTAACTAGATGTATATTTATGTCATATACTGAGGTAGGAGGTATAATTGGAAGATGTTTCTTATGTATAAGGTGGAGTTGGAGGGTGTTCAAATATAAGTATTGGGCTTATTGGATTTGATGTCCTTGTGATACATTTAGACGAGCTGATGTGTCCATATGAAGTTTGGGTAAGAACTCTAGAGATCAAGAGAAGACAGACTAGAAACAAATGTTTTTAAGAAAAAGGGTGTGATCTATAGTTTAAAAGTGTATAAATCGGGCTCTGGAAGTTGGGATGCACATAGAAGATATTTGAAATTAGGACACTGTCCCCGTTAGGATTATGACATTGTGGTTTGGGGATATGAGTGGTTGAAGTCATCAAAGGATTATCCAAGGGTTAGGTACCCTAGGGTGGGAGTGAATGCACCGCTTTTGAAAATAATATTTCTGGCAGGTCCTGCTCATCTTCTGGTTCGACATGAAGCGCATCAGCTTTATGGGCTGCTTCCTGCAGATGTTCATCATGAATACATTCCTTCCCATGGAATCCTCCACCTTTCTGGTCATGGCTTATGACCGCTACGTGGCCATCTGCCATCCACTGCGCTACTCATCCATAATCACGGAACAGTTTGTCGTCAATGTGGCCATCTTCATCATCGTTCGCAATTTGCTGGCCACTCTGCCTACACCAATTCTGGCTGCGAAACTCAATTACTGTGCCAGCAATGTAGTGGAAAACTGTATCTGTGCAAACATTTCTGTAGCAAAGCTCTCCTGTGGAGATATTTACCTGAATAAGCTCTACCAATTTGTGAGTGTTTGGTGCCTGTTGGGTTCTGATCTGGTCCTTATCTTGCTATCCTACTGTTTCATCTTGAGTGCTGTTGTGCATTTGCAGTCAGGAGGTGCAACCACCAAGGCCTTGAGTACTTGTGGTTCCCATCTCATTCTTATACTTTTCTTCTATACATTGCTGCTAGTCTTCATCTTCACAAATAAGGCAGGGAAAAAAGTGTCCCCAGAGGTACCCATTCTTCTCAATGTCTTGCACCATCTCATCCCACCAGCCCTGAACCCCATTGTTTATGGAGTACGAACCCAGGAAATCAAGCAAGGGATTATCAAACTATTCAAGTACCAGTGCTGAGAGATGTGAGTCAAAGATTAGGGATTATGGAAATTTGAGTGTGTCAGTGATGGTTTCAACTGAATACCACAAGGAACACCATGTAACATCCATGCTGCTACCCTCATCTTTTATTTAAACCTTCCTCAACCACTATCACAATATTTACTCTCAGTAACCCTCTCCTGAAACCCTCATTGAATATGTTTTGGTATCCACTATTTTCTTCATTCTGACCCCTTGCCATTGTGATATCTCAATTACTCATTCATTAAATAAGTATTTAGTGCCTTCCACATACTACTCAGTCTTTTCATTCCAAATGCCTTCACATGTAATTACCAGAGCAGGGATGGGACAGTGCTTCAAATAGAACATGAGGAGTATGGGTAGGACTGGAAAAAACAATGAGGACTTTACTTCAATAATCCAGGTGGGAAATGATAATGATTTGAACTAAGGTGGTGAGTGAAAATTGAAGTTATGGGTCACAAGATTTGCTGAGAGTTTATAGGGAGGTTATAAAAGATTGAGAGGAATAAAGGGTTACACCAAAGTCTTTTTGCAAGAAGAATAAAAAAAGCAGAATTGCATCAATGGCAGAGCTTTTTTTTACATATGCTATCAGAAGTTTAGCTTTAAACACTGAACTCTATTTCCATACCAAATTCCTCCAAATGACTCTACCTTTGAAAAGATCTCCAGTATATTGTGACAGGCCTACAATGATAGTCACCTTCTCATAGCCAATCTTCCTTTGTTTGGAACCAGAAGTTCTGCTATTTGTGATCACATCTTCCCTGTCATCTCTGCCTTATCCTCCCCATGGCTGTACCCTCCCTAGGACTTCCCCTACTTCTTAGACTTCTGCTTTTTCTTTGTTTAGTACTCTGTACTCATTGCTCCAACTGACTGGAACAGTATTCTCCTTATGTTCAAATGATGAACTTTTCAACATTCATAATCTCAATTCAAAAACCAACTATACAGGGAGTACTTCCTTAATAATTACATCCAAAGTAGCATACTTCTCTTAGATCATGCTAACACGTTGTATTACCTTTTTTCTTTATAGCACTTGCCATTTTCTGAATTTATTTATTTCTTTCTTTAATTTCCCTTTAAATATACTTAGATTTAAGTCTCTTTTGCTCATGACCCTATCCTCAAATCCTAGATCCTGATATATTTGACAATATTTCAGGTACTGAATACATAGATAAAGGAACAACTGGCCTCAAAATTTGGTGTATATGGTCACTGTCATGTCCTGGAAACATTCTGAAATATATACTTAGATCAATCTCCAGTGTCAGTTGGCATGTCCTCTAAGACAGGGGTCCCCAACCTCCGGGATCCAATGTCTGATGATCTGAGGTGGAGCTGATATAAATATAATAGAAATAAAGTGCAAAATAAATATAATGTGCCTAAATCATTCTGAAACCATCCCCCATCCCTTAGTCCATGGAAAAATTGTCTTCCACAAAACCAATTCCTGGTGCCAAAAAGGTTAGGGACTGATGCTCTAAGATATACATTTGATACATATATCAGTATAGGGGAAGACTTTCTAATTATTAGTAATGTTAAAATTGCCAATATAGCCTTCATTTTAACATTACCTGGATATTTGTTCTAAGGTTCAAAGGACCACATTTCCTATTTGTGTTTTTCCCAAATATTAGATTATAAAACATTCTATTTCTCTTACACATTCTTTAAAATGTTTTTAAAAAATTAAAATCAGCCAATTTCAAATACTGATGTATAAGATTATGAAAATCTGTTAAGCAAGATTTAAATGAGATAAAAATACATGTTACCTTTATGATAATTGTCTTTAAACATGAACAACCATTGCTTATCCTGATGTTAATAATCCTTATTATTCACCAATAAAAACTAATTAGGAATAACAATTTCCTGGATTCATTTACAGCTTATCTTCAGGCTCAGGGCTGTCACTGCAGGATTTGGGCATGTCTGATATGCATAAAGCTAATCCTTTCTTTCTATTTCCTTCTATGTAAAAGACAACATTCCCTCAACATTATAGGATCCAGATTACTTTAATTTCATTTGAACAGCATATGAGTTCCTCTATGATGGCAAATTTGTCCTGTGCATCTTTGTACCCTTGGGCTGTAACAAAGTAGCAGTTAATTAGAAAATATTTCTTCAATTAATAATGAGCCTAGTATATTTCAGTGTCACTACTGGAACAACTTATGATATGGTGATATATTAGTATCCTAAAACAGAGCCTAAATATGTATGTACCCTAAATACATATCACAAACTAAGTCATTGTGAATTTCAGAGGTTAAGCTTGAAGTGCAGACAATGGTGTGAAGACGTTGAGGAAGAACCTTTATGTGATAACCCCTTCTCCTAAACCTAGTAAATTCCATTTCTTCAAAATGTGAACAATTCTTGCAAGAGATCTTTCCTTTCAAGGGTTGGACCTGATAATAAGACACAACTTTGCTTGATAAAGAGTAGGTGGAGAAGAAATTTATTGGTCTAGCTAGAGGTAAGTGAGAGAGATTTATTCATGGAGTCCAGCTACTTTTCATCATTCAGGACTGACATTTAAAGTAATGTGAACTCTTCACAATTACATTATGCAGCTGAGCTATAAGAACAAAAATAGTAATAATAATATGCTACATGCAAGGATATTTATATCCACAATTACATATTAAAAATTACATGTACATGAAACAGGGCACCCAAAGCCAGTGCTCTGTGACAACCTAGAGGGGTAGGGTGGGGAGGGAGGAGGGAGGGGGTTTCAGGGTGGAGGGGACACATGTATACCTATGGCTGATACATATTGATGTATGGCAACAGCTATCACAATATTGTAGTTATCCTCCAATTAAAATAAATACATTTAAAAAATAAATAAGATTACATGCACTGTAATAGCAAGTTTAATGTTAATTGGGATTTATTTCTCCACTATAGAATTCATCCTCCAGAGTTCTTACATTTTAGATACAACAATAGCAAAGATTTGAAAAAAAAAATTTAAAAGTCCCAGAAATGCCAGACTTTTGGGGGGAAGCATTGAAGTTTGAAAAAGTGAATAAAGTCAAGAAAATTGTTTCAGAATTAAATTTATTCTCTGCTTGAACTTGAGTCTGTGAGCTGTGGATTTCAACCAAATTTCCCATCAACTGATTTATTAGCCATCCTAGTTTAGGAATACAGAGATCCAGTTGTCCTAATTACCATCCTTTCTTCAGTAGCCTCTGGATTCCTTGCTTGATCTCCTGGGTTCGCACCCCATAGACAATGGGGTTGAGGGCTGCAGGGATGACATGATGCAGGACATTGAGCAAGACGGGCACGTCAGGGGACACCTTCTTCTTTGCCACGTGAGTGAGGACAAAGACCAGGAGGATGGTGCTGAAGAAATGGATCAGGATGAAGTGGGAGCCACACATGCTTAAGGCCTTTACGACAGCTCCTTCTGCCTTGAGTCTCAAAACAGCCCTTAGTATGAGGGTGTAGGAGAGGAAGATGAGGATGAGGTCAGATCCCAGCAGGGTCTAGCCTCCAGCAAATTGGAGGAGACGATTGATGGTGACATCATCACAGGAGAGTCTGGAGACAGACATATTGGCACAGATGCAGTTCTCAATGACATTTCTCCCACAATAATGGAGTCGAGCAGAGAGGATGGGAACAGACATAGTTAGAAGTGCATTTCTGGCCAAGATAAAAATGGCCACCTTGGCTATAAATTGGTTAGTGATGATGGATGGGTATCTCAGTGGATGGCAGATGGCTACATAGCGGTCGTAGGCCATAACCATGAATGTGCAGGACTCCATGGCAAGAAAGCAATTCATGATATACATCTGAACGAAACAGGCAACAAAGCTGATGGACCTGAGATCAAACCAGAATATGGCCAGGACCTTGGGGATGACGGTGAGGCAGAGCACCATGTCAAGCAGGGAGAGGAGGCTGAGCAGATAGTACATGGGTTTGTGCAGAGAGGCCTCCAGCCGGATGGTGATCAGGAGGGTGGCGTTGGCCTCCATGGCCAGGAGGAAGAGGAGACTGAGGGGCAGGGACAGCCAGAGCTGCCAGGTGGGGGACTTGACAAAACAGTTCAGGAGGAAGTCTGAAACCCCAGTGGAGCCATTTCTGTGAGATGTCATCTTGTGGATTTTGTTTCTACAGACTTCCTTTTATGATCTAAAAAGTTAGGATCAAAATAAGCCTCTGATTGTACTAACACTGGGAGAAAAGTTCAGGAGCAAACTTATGGTTTCTAGCAGATTATTTTGCTTTAAATGAGGATTTTTCACGTTGCACACAGGAAATAAATTCATTTCAATCTTCTGCAATTTTTGTGTCTCCTCATTTGTGAAATAGTTTTATTTTTTCAATGAAAACATCTTATAAAGTAGAATGAGTTAGGAACAGTTAGCTGTAAGATGTTTTCTTGCAACTGAGGATTGTTACAGAACAGTTCCTCTGATTTTAGCAGTGTGGAGGTCTTTAGTGATTCCCTCTCTGAATCTCTCTGCCCAACTGACCAGATAATGTCTCCTACATTCATACCATACACCGTCCAGTGTTGCCACTCTTTTTTTCTAATTTAGCTTGTTTTTTTTCTTTTAAAGCTCTTTATAGAGAGGGAACAAAAAAATTAAGTATTATCCTTGTTCTCAGAGAGGTGAAAATTCCCTTGGGATTGTCAGTTATAAGACAAAATGATAAGATAATAACAGAGTAATGTGCAGAATATTTTGAGAGTAGATGAGCACTAAACTTACTCACATGAAAGTAAAGTGTTCCCAGGACTACTCTCCTGCTGAATTTTAAAGCAAGTTCAAAGAAAGCTGCAAAAAAATGAGCTGCTTGTTGCAGTGAGAAATACCTACAAAATGTCTGATATTAGCATTTCTGGAGTCTTTAAAGTCATATTGTATATAATCCCTTTATCTGTCTACAAAGATATTCTGCTCCAGTGTAATCCCATGGGTATAAATTGTTTC